CGACAAAGAATCCCTATGAGCCACCCAGCATCCTTAATGGGGAGACTGAATATTTCCCAGTAACGATCAGAAACCAGGAAATCATACCCACTTTACCACTCCTGTTCAAAGCTGTACTGAAGATTTTAGCCAGGAAAAAAAATAAAATAAAAGGGATCCAGATGGACGATATGGCTGTCTTTGTAGATAATCTCATGGAATTGGATAGGCGCACCCCAAAACTCAGGGTCCTTAACACAGCTGAGAGGGCGGTTTCTAAGAGCTGCAGTTTAGACTGTTTTACTTCTGCTTCTCATGAACTTTCAGGGACACAGCTCATAACCATTGCTTTCGGACACATCTGAAGAAGGGCTTGAGAAATGCTATAGGGAAACTAGATGTGGGCTAATGCGCTGGACTGCAGTCAGAACCACAAGGTCAGCAGTTCAAGTTCACCAGCCACTCCTTGGAAACCCTATACAGGGTCATTATGGGTCAGAACCAACTCTATGGCACTCAGCAACAACACCCAAACTAGATATAGAAAAGAACTGTTTTCCAGGCAGGCTAGTTCAGTGAAGACTAAAATAATGATGTTGGCAAAGGTTCCAGGTAAAGGTTTTTGCAATTATTTACAAAAGATACCATATTAGAAAATAGACCATAAATCCTTTATATAAGAGGTCAGTTAGTCAGTGAGGCGCGTGGAAGGGCACTCCAAACCTAAGATGCTTGGCACGATTAAAACAGACTGACATAGGTCTAAATTGAAACTCAACTCTGAATCAAACCTGTTCAAAGTCCTCCCTCAGAATAAAGCCTGCAATTTAGAACTTTAATGACACAGTGAACTCATTACAGAAAGTCTTGCTATTAGGGTTCCAGTTCATCCATACACAGGTACATGCCACACAAAACACACTTAAACATGCTTCTGCGATCAGTAGATGGCTGCAGACAAGTTCTTGAAGTAAGTAGTACACTGTCTTACTGATCACAGAGACATGCTCAAGTTATGTTTTGTGTGAAATGGATTCCTGGTGTGGCATTGTAAGGTAAATACTGGACTGCTAACTGCTAGGTCAGCAGTTCAAACCTACCAGCTGCTCCTGGGAAACACTAGACAGGACCGCTATGAGTCAGAACCAATGGTACTTAACAACTTCAAGAAGTCTCAACAATAGGAGGTCTTCACACAAGAGGGTCCATGAAAACTGTCTTCTGAGAGACAGGCTGCGACAATTCACTTCAAGGCAGCTCAGCAGGTTATGGTGACTCTTGATGGATCCCCAAGGTGTTACCTTGATAGAGCTTCTTGAAGGACACAGTACGATACTGGGGACTTACGAGGAATTTTCTTTAAGGACATGGGATGATCACAGAACTTATTAGGAACAAATTTTTAGAAAATTGAAAACTGCATTTGGGAGAAAAATGCCAGGACAAATGCATAGAGAAGAAATTGTTTTTCCATAACTACAATGTATGGGAGGGCAGCAAGGGCTGTCCTAGAATTTCTTTATGAAACCACATCCCATCCACCCGACAACCTTGATCTTGCCCTTTCACACTTTTTGTTCCCCAAACTCAAAAAAAAAGCACTGAAAAGGATGTAGTTGAGTCCGCTGAGGATATCAAAACGGTCATTTTACATGGATGGTATAAATCAAAGAGGACAAGGTTAGAGATGGAGATAGCCCTAGGAGCAGGATATGCCAAAGAGCAATAGTTTCACATTTAGATATTTTTGCTTAATGTAAGTTTCTGAGCCCTTTCGCGATGCTATAGGGTACACTCTGGACTGCTAACTGCAAGGCTGGTGGTTTACACCCACCAACCACTCTGAAAATTCTAGACAGGGTTGCTGTGTGTTCAAACCAACTCGATGGCACTAACAACATGGTTTTGTAGCCATTTTTTGACTTGCCCTCGTATAAATTTAATCAACCTCAACAAACAAAGGGTATTTTTTCAAGATAATATTTGTCAAGATGGTCACAGGACAATGTGTAGTTATGTCCTAGAAAAAAATGTATATATGGGGCTTCAAAAAGATGGTGAAAATTGATTTAGTTATGTCCTAGAAAAAAATGTATATATGGGGTTTCAAAAAGATGGTGAAAATTGATTTAAAAAATAGTGGAATTTTCTCAGAAACTTTTTGAAGCCCCCTTACATGCAGGTATTTCAGAAAACCACCTGCTAGGCTGGCTCCAAGAAGTCTATGTTAGAAAATATATCAGCTTGTATTGCTGTTGTTGTGTGCCATCAAGTCAGTCCCGACACACAGCGACCCATACAGGATTTCTGAAAGGAGTTAGCAGTCCAGTGCCTACCCTACAAATAAACTGGCTAACCTTGTAGAATTTTGAGTTCTGGTGTGGTGT